GATCTAAATAAATCTAGTTAAGATTTGTTCTTTATTACTGAAACACTCAATATAACTGTGACCTCATCGCCAAATATACTCGAGTTCACGTAAACTTGTCTAATTCGATAGACTTGTGAACTATCTTAACTACTAAAATAAACTTGCCTTGAAAATAAATGAGTACAGCTCTAAGTAGAGCAGTCAAGCTGCTCACAGTATGCTCCATCGATTTGCAAAATGCTTTCATTCTTATATTAACATAAGCCTAAGATACGTGGGATCTAAAAAATATATATTTAGCAAAATATTTAGAATCTTACCTGTAACAAGAAAGCTGCATCTCCCGGCTCCAGCTTCATTTATGATGCTACAATTGTAAACCCCATAGTTTTCATTGGAAAGACTCTTGACCGGGTATTCTGTGTACTCTTGAGAGTCAAACTGACCCGTCCGTAACAATTTGTTGCCCAAGCGCCACTCATAGGTCAGTACCCGTATTGGATAGGCTCTCAGAACCCGGCAGCTCATAGTGACACTTCGTTCTTGTCCTTGTCGGATTTCAAGAAATGCTGGTTCCACAGTAGGAGGATCTGCAGAAATGAGATGTTAAAACAGATAAAATATGTAGATTGCAATAAGCCAATGGCTATTCTTATTGTGAGAAGCTATTTTTAAGAACATATCCAGCAGCAGGGAAGGAATATAAAACATGGGCGGAGAACATATTTAGGTTCAGAAATTTCAGCTGGGAATGGGAACATGATTTACAGTGTGGGCAGTGAATGAGACTCATCGCTTTTAAAAAAGCATTTACAGGTGAAATTAACGGTTTATTTTCAGCTGCTTCCCAGAAAAGATTGTCTTGACCGTGTTTGGTTTATACTGTTAGCAGCCTGATAATGTTCTGGAAATGAAATGCAGTCTTCAAACTAGCATGAAACTTTGAAGCAGGTAAAGCCATTGATTCAAGTCAGTGAATTCTAATTATTCTGAAGTGAGGCTCCGTCCTCAGGTTTCTGGGTACCCATTATCTAATAAAATAGGTAACACAAATATATGTTTATTTTTTAAATCAGTCGGTCTAAGCTTATTTAACCTCCAGTCATAATATCATCTGTAAATCCAAAGCAAACTTTGCAAATTATACTGCATACAGGTAGATGGATGTGGTTTTAAACTCACTGCAATAGCTCATTCATCTGGCTTAATTATGATTTTTTTCCGTATACATACTTAAAACTTGCTACATTAGATATCTAACCTTTTAGTTTTTGATGGGAAGATTTCTAAAAGGTATTACATACTTCTCTCATTATTTAAAGTAGGAAAAAGAGAGTCCATTCCTTAATGACTCCCAATGGCCCTAATAAATGACAAATATTTCCAGAATGCTAATAACAGGATTCATTTAATCAAAGAAACTGTATGAGACCACACAAGATTGAACTGCACAACACAATCACATCCTTGATTAAATGTGTATGGCAACCTCTTGAGTTGTGTGGTACAAAATTACAGAACTCTACCTGGCATCCCTTCCATTAAGATCCTAAACAGGTTTTAGGAGTACCATACCAAATGTGCCTTCTGATATTCTTTATGTGTTATTCCATCTACTTTTTATACCATTGCTCTCCCTTCTCATTGGCAATCTGTTGACTAACCCTTCTTGCTTCTTTCAACAAATATCTTTAGACTATCTTCTTAATTCAAGTTTTATTCATAAATTCAAATTTTAACTCTTACTGTATAAAAAAATTTCTGTCTGCATATAGTTTATGATCTAACACAATAGGCAGACATATAAATAGCTAATTTACAAAATTGAAGTACAATAAACCATTCTAGTGTAGAAAGTAAAGTGAATAACACTGAAGATTGATCTGAACAGTCATCTCAAGAAAGGTGTGTCTTTCAGAATATACAGAAAATGATCAGGTGGGTAAGCAATAAGAGAAGATATTCCAGGTAGGGGGGGTTAGTATGTGCAAAGGTAAGAAAGACATAGAGAGGAGGAGGTGTTCAGAAAAGTGTAAATGAATTAGCATAACTGGTGAACAAAAGGTATATAGGGTTTAGGAGGAAGTAAAGATGGAAAGAAAAGCAGAGCCTCTATTCAAGGATCCTCGAATACCATGTTATGAAGTTTGCATTTTATCCTGTTGGCAATGAGGGTCTTTTAAAATTTTTTTAAATGAAGGCTTTATATGATTAGACCAAATTTTTAAAAAGACTGCTCTCCCCCTCCCCCCGATAAAGGTAAAAGGGGTCAAATATTTGGTGAGAGAAGGAAATATAATTCAGTGGTGAACACACAGTGCAATATATATAATACATACTGTTGAATTGTACACTTGAAACTTATTGGATTTTGTTGATCAATGTCACCCAAATGATTTTTAATGAAAAACTAATTTGCAAAAAAAAAAAAAGTAATAAAAATAAAAAAATAAAAAGACTGCTCTGACAGATAAGAGGAGCATGAACCTCAAAGGGAAGAGTCTATAGTTACTGAAAAAATGGCAAATCATTGGTAAAGGCCTGAACTAAGGCAATATCAGCGGGAGCACAATGATACCTTGGACAATGAAGTGGATAATGGCATCAGTGATGAAGTTAAGGAAGAAAAGCAGGAGTAGTTTGGGGTATGGTGAACATGATGAATTTGCGTACCTGTTAGTTACATAGTCAGTATACCTACTAGGCAAGTGTTTCTTCATTTCCAAATATACAGGTTATATTTTATTATTTCTCTTTAAATTTTTTGCTTAACTGAATCAAAGTCAGAAAAAATAGTTTATATTTTCAATCTTCTGAAATTTGTTGAAACTTACTTATAGCCTAATATATAATTAAATTTTGTTCTGTGTGTGCATGCTTCAAAAAAGGAATAGTCCGCAGTTTGGAGTTGTGATGAGAATCTATTGGGTTAGTCTGATAGTGGAGTTGTCCAAATCATCTATATAGTTTGGTTTTGTTTTTGCCTCCTTAGTCTACTTGGATTAGGAGAGTGTTAAACTCTTCTAAAAAGGTAATCATTTTTTTTTTTAAATTTCTTCTTGTAGTTCCGTCCCTGTTTTGTTTTACATATTTTCAGGCTATGTTATTAAGTACATACAAATTTAAAATTGCTTTATGTTATTGATAAATCTTTTATCATTATAAAATGATCTCTTTTATTTCTATTAATGTTTTATTATTTAAACTTTATTTTGTTTCATGTTGCTAAAGTTACCCTGGTGTTCATTTAGCTATTACTTACATGTTATGTCTTTTCCATCCTTTTATGTTTTCAGTATCCTAATTTTTACTAGTACCTCTTTTAAATAGCATGTGATTACAATCTATTTTTTCTAGGAATTCTGATGATTTATTTATTTTACTTACCGCTCTTGACACATTATTAGTTTACATTTACTGTAACTACTAATATATTTGAGAACAAATGTATCTTCTTATTTTTTATTTTTTGTTTGATTGTCTTTTAGATTAATGGATTGAATCATTATTTCAAACTTTTTCTGCTACTAGTTCGGAATTTAACTACTCTGCTTCTATTATTTAATAATTATCTTAAAGCATGCAACATGCAAACTTGTTATTCAAAAACTTCAATTAATACCGCTACCGCCTTCCTGAATAAAATTAGAATCTCAGAACACTTTGCTCCTTTTATTTCCATTCCAACATTTGTTACTGAGCTATGAATTTTAATTCTCTCTGGTTTTATGAAAACCTATTGAATATTATTATAATTTTATACCTGTACTTTTAAAAAACTTATCCAGATATATGCTAGCTTATTTGCCCTTAATTACTTCTTTAATTACAGAACTTCCAAATCTGTGATAACTTTACTTTTACATCAAGTACATCTTTTAAAATTATCTTTATTGAATTTTCTAACCTCGATTTTCTAAAAACATTTTTAATTTCATTCTTAAAAGATATTTTCCTTGTACATAGGATGATAGGTTAGCAGTTATTTTATTTCAGCACATCAGGATATTACTCCACTATCTTCAGATGGCCATTGTTGCTGTAGAGAAGCTCAAAGTCTCACACTTAGAAGTGAATATCTTATTTTCCTTTAGCTACTTTCAAAGTCTCTTTGTCTTTGATGTTCTATGGCTTCAATACAATGTTTTTAGGTATAGAGTTTTATTTTACTTATAGTTTGGAATCTTAAATCTGTTGATTTGTTTGGTGTCTTTTGTTTAAGAGATTTTTATAAAATTCTCATCATTGGTTCCTCAAATAACACCTGTATTCTTTTCTATCTTCACTTAAGAATTTTTTCATTATGTCTTCCATGTCTCTTAACCTCTCTTCCAAATTTCCATTTTCTCAGTTTTGCTGCATTGGATTATACATAAATTCTTCTGAGCTAATTCAGTTAATTAATTCTTTCTTCAATTCTGATTAATATGCTAAACTCATTCATTGTGTTTGCTGTGTTTTTAATTACATTAATGTGGTTTTCATTTATAAATGTTTTGTGTAGTTCTTTTGTATACCTGTTATGCCACTACTTTTATACTTTCCCATTACTTAAAAATGTAGTAAGGCCTGTGTTTTATTTCTTTAAACAAAGTAATTATTTTATACTGCCTGTTATTTCTAATTGTGGTTTTAAGGGATTTTTCTCTCAAGGTATCTTGTTTCTGTGTATTCTTTGTTAATTTGAATTCTGTGATACTTGTTCTTTAAAAAATATTTATAAGAATACTTTGATGCCTAAGATGATGATTTCTTCCTCTAGAAAGATTTGTATCCACAGACAACTATTGGCATCAATGTCTAGGATCTCATTAATCTAAGTTCATGGCTCGAGATTTTATTTTATGCATCTAGGGGACGTGATTTTGAATTTAAAATCCACATAAGAATCCATCTTGCGATTATAGCTTTAAGTATGGTTTCCCATAACACCCCCACCCTACTCACTTCAAAAGCAATCTTTTTTGCACTCACTGGAGAGTAGAGTGGGGAGTAGATTAGGTTTACTTCTGCTTTACTCTTACCTTGTGGATATAGTTGTTTGAGTTCCAATTTCTTGGGGGAAGGGTTTGAGGTTCTGCACTTCTTGCCCAGAGATGCCATCAAAACTGAAGCTCAAATTTGCCTGTATCGGCAAATGCCCTCAAGGCAAAGGTTGCCTCATTGTACTGCTTTTGTATAAATTAGGAGTGATATTTTTAATATAAACACTTTATTGCTTTTGATAATATTTTTAGAATATTTCCTAGCATTTTCAACTGTTTGCACTGGAAGGGTTTTACAGAATATTTTGTCTATTATATGCCCAGAATCATATCTTTCTGATAGCCGAGTAGAAATTTAGATCTCAATCTCAGAATGGAGGCCAGACTTCAGGCTGAAGTTCTGTTAAGATAGCTTAGAGTGAGTATAAACAAAAACAAAGAAAATGCCAAATTTGAATTTACTCTTGAATGTAATGACTTATGGGGTTAGAGGGGAGAAAAAAAGCTCCTAAAGGAAAATAAATATAAATAGAGAGATATGTAGATTCAGAGTTGTGTTACAAAGATTAAAGGAATTATATACTTCAAAGAATATGAAGTGATCA